TCGGACTTGAATCTAGCAAGCTCTTCGTCGATGACGCTGTACATGTGGTCATAGTCAGTCTCGGGCGTTTCACGGCTTTGGCGGCAGTAGCCGAGCCCCAGAGTGACGCTGAAAGACCATGTCAGATAGATATTCTGCGCAGAAGAAGCAGAAGCAGCAGCCCCAGAATGTGAACTTACCGTAGTTCGATCCAATTGACGTTTTCAGCGTGAAGAGTGCTCATTATATGACGTAAGAAGGCGCGAAAGATGGGCTCGTAAGATATCATGCTTTCCGTGATCGCAAAGCACCGCCCTAAGCGTTTCCAGATGGCTTCGCGGGTGGCATGTTGTTCCACGGACTCCTTCGATATGACACATTGCATCCTGAGCCAGTTTCTGAACGCAGGTTCTCCGCCGTCATTGAACTCGTTCGCCGCCTTCTTGAGACCTCTCCATGTGCCGGGGACGTAGCCTCTTGTCCAGACTGACGCCTCGCTCGTCTCAGTTTGGCGAAAGCCAAACTTCACGGTCGCGCCCTCCAGCGCCGTGCTTGAATCTAACGGTGCGTCGGCCGAGATGTGCATTCCCGGAGTTTTGAATACCACGTCCAGGAGCCAGTCGATATCAACCATGTTACTCAGGTTCGCGTTCAACACGCCTCCCTTCGGCAACCGCCGTATGATACGCCACAGGTCTGTCGTCTCGAGCAACGGCTTCGCCAAGGCAAATGGCGTTCCCAGATCTTGCTGGCCAGTCCATACCGTCTCATTTTCTCTCTCGCGAATCTTGGTGACGATGGCAGCGGCACGGCGAGCGAGCGGAGAGAGCGAGTTACGGAAGCCCGTGTCGGCGCGGAGGGCGGATTCCTGGTCCCGGAGGCGGACGCTGCCGGCGGTGAACTGCCGCAGGAAAGGTTCATCTGGCGATGGAATCTCCTGGGCTAGTTGAGCGTAGTCTTCGTCTGAGAGGGACATGTTGAGGGTTTGCAGCAGCAGGCTGATGGTATCGACGGGAGCACGTCGGATGACGATGTCACAAAGTTGACTCGCGGGGGGTGCTGCTGTCGGGCCAGGATGACTGACCTCCACGGGAACTCTTCCGAACTAATCCCAGGAAAGAAGGCCAATTCAATTTGCTGATTGCATGAGATTATATCTGACCGATATGCTCCTGGATGTGTGGATGAGTTGAGATGCTGGTGTCTCACCTCTTGGAGACCAGTGACGTCGGATGGTGGGGTGGTGTTTACACCGAGAACCTCGGTCTATCCGCACAGAAGACTTCGGTGTAAGCCTCGGTGAACCCCCTATTCCAGTCTCCCTTACCTACCTTACCTACCTAGGTAAGGTGTCTAGGTAGGTCGGAAGCCTGCGAAGTAAAATTGACTTGCATTGCCACGCATTGTCTGGCATTCACAATATCCAAGTGACTATGTACCCTAAATTAGGCCTGAAGCTGCAGATCTTCTCTGTTCGCGTGGCTGCCGCCTCTCCATCCTGCTCGAGGATCAGTCTTGCTCTGAAGGCCCTTTTCCTTCCCAGGAGCACCCCATCCACCACCTCCAGGGGTATTAATGATGATGCGATCACCAGGCTTCATCGGCGCGCTGTTCTTCGCACCAAGGTTGAACCTCCTCTCTTCGTATTCCACCTGTTCTTCATTCTCTTTCTTGTCATCGGTTCCCTCTTGCAGCCTCTTCAGCGACTTCTCCCAGCTTCCTTTCTCGACCTGCCGGACCCAAATGTTCTGTCCCGACTGGCCATCCTCGCCGCCCGCGAGACCGTACGGTCGGTACACCCTTCTTTCACTGAGAATAGAGACTTGCACAGGAATGCGGAATTCGATGTCCCTTATCACACCGTCTCCGCCATTGTGCTGGCCCCTGCCGCCAGAGCCTTTGCGGAGCGAGAACTCCCGCAGCAGCACTGGGTATCGCCTCTCGAAAACTTCAGAGTCAGTGATGCGCGTGTTGGTCATGTGCGTGTGTACACCGCTGGTGCCCTCCCACGTGGACCCTGCACCACTGCCACCTGCGATTGTCTCATAGTAGCCGAAGCCCTTGACGACCTTATCCTCGCCGCCGACGTTTCCGCCAAAGCCAAAGGTCAAGTTGTTGCAGTCACCCTGGCTGGCGGCACACGCCTGGAAGGCCTTGAAAATGACATCAGTGACCCGCTGGCTCGTAAGGACGTTGCCTCCCACCACAGCCGCCTTATCCGAGGGCGAAAGCAGGGAGTGTGGTGGGATCTTCACCGTGATGGGCTTGAGGCAGCCCTGATTCAGGGGTATATCTTCCGAGATCAGGCATCGCAGACAATAAATAATGGCGCTGTAGCTCACTGCCTCTGGCGCATTGATGTTTCCATAGACCTCTGGGCCTGTGCCTTCAAAATCAAAAACGGCTTCTCCCTTGTCAGCGTCTATTGTGATTTTCAGCTGAATAGGGCTGCCGTCGTCCATAAAGTCGACGGCTTGTAAGGCTGCACCCTCGGACCGCTTGCTGACCTCCTTGAGTAGGTTCCGGACGCATAGCTCAGCGTTGTTCTGAATGTGTACCATGTAGAACTGGACCGTCTCTTCGCCATACTCATCTATCAGACCCTCAATCAGAGAGATTCCCTTCTGGTTCGCCGAGACTTGTGCGCGGAGGTCGTTGATGTTGTCCGCCAGACAGCGTGTTCCGCTGCATCCTGGGTATTGAGCCGGCTCGTCGTAGAGCAGCTCAGTCACACGCTTTTCGTCAAAACGCCCTTCACTTACGAGCTTTTCGCTCTTGATAGCTGCACCTTCCTGAAACAGCTCGCGCGAATGAGGTGGCATGCTGCCGGCTGTGATGCCACCGATATCAGCGTGATGGGCTCTGGAGGCAGCGTAAAACAGGATCTTGTCGCCCGCGTCATTAAAAGCGGGCATGACCAGCGTAATGTCTGGGAGATGTGTTCCGCCGTATGAAGGGTGGTTCGAAATGATCCCCTCCCCCTTCCTCAGGCGACCCTGCCAGATCTCGGCTTGCCTCCTGACGCACGTTGACATGGATCCCAGATGAACAGGTAAATGGGGCGCATTTGCAACCCACCGCTTTGGCGTCAAATATTGCGCAGGAAAAGTCAAGTCGTTCTTTAACATTGGTGCTGACACTTGTCTTCTGTAGCGCGCGTCCCATTTGCTCAGCAATGGACATGAATCGGTGGCCAAAGATGCTGAGCATGATGGGGTCAACCTCTCTGTCGGCCTTCTCCTGGTGCTGCCTGCGAAGACGTTAGCGACTGGATGAAAAGATGACAAGTGGCCATCATACCCATCCTTAGAAGCCCCCTTATCAAGATCGATGACCACATGGGTGTCAAGGATGTAGGCAGTAGCCCCAGGTGTCACCACGATGGTTTGCGTACCATCTGCCAGCATGGCCGGGCCTTGGAGGACATGCCCCGTGTTGAGGTTTTCAAGCTTATACACGGGAGTTTGTTGACGGCCACCCTCGTAGTACACCTGCTGGCGATCGTGAACCTTGCTGTCGTCGATATCATGGCGGGTCAGGGTCTTTAGTTGTTGATCGACTGATTTCTCGTGGTGGCGAGAGCTCTTGCCGATGCCCCGCACGCGGACGTCATCTACGATCATGTCGCGATCGTCAAGAGTAAACCCAAATTCGTACCGATGCTGTTTGACAAAGGCACTGCCAAAGTCCCACGTACGTCCATCAAATTCCCTCTCGGCCTCTTCGGCACTCGGTTTCACAATCATGAGGGCGGACTCGGTCCCTCGATATCGTATGTTAAGGTACTCCTCAAATATAATATCGTCGCCTTCGAAACCCTGGTCCTCGAGAGCTTTCCGGGACCGGTCCTTGAGCTTCTCCATCTTGCTCTTCAGCTCGTCGACAGTCTTTCCAGGGTATGCCCAGATCTTTGATTCTGGTTCCTGGCGTTCATCGACGACATCGGCAAGGGCCATGCCGTAAGCCGACAGCACTGAGGAGTACCGATGGACCAGAATTTGCTTGATGCCTAGAGCATCGGCGATTGCGATGGCATGCTGCCCGCCAGCGCCGCCGAAAGTGGCCAGTCGATGCTTGGATGAGTCGTGGCCTTTGGCCTCGGTGATCGACCGAATGGGTCTCGTCATGGTCTCGTTGGCCACCGTAAGGAATCCGTACGCGACCTCGTCCACCGTCATGTTCTTGCCAGTCTCGCCATTGACCTGATCGGTCAGCTCCTGCAGGACCCTTTGGCTAGCTTCAGGGTCCAGTCCCTGATCCTCGTTCCTCCCGAAGATCTTGGGGAAGAACTCTGGCAAAAGTCGACCGAGGTAGAGGTTTGCATCCGTCACAGTCGCCGGGCCTCCTTTTCGGTAGCACGCCGGGCCGGGATGCGCTCCAGCCGACTCGGGGCCCACGACAAACAGTCCGTTCTTCCAGAACAGTCTCGACCCGCCACCAGCAGCAACCGTGTTGATATCGAGCTGAGGCGATTGAATAGTCACACCCGCCGTCGTCGTCTCGAAAACGTGCTCGTACCGGCCTTCGCCGTAGCGGGAGACGTCTGTGCTGGTACCACCCATGTCGAAGCCGATGACGGGAATCTTCGTCTCTTCGTCGTAGGAGGTGACAGCGTAGCCAACAACGCCACCAGCAGGGCCCGACAAGATGGCCTTGAGCCCGGTGAACTTTTCGACGTCCACTAGTCCACCATCGCTCTGCATAAACTCGCACCGGGCTCCCTTGCTGCCCTCGTGTTGCTGAACGCTCCTTGTGCCGAGGCCGCCCTCGAAGCCGGACTGGAAGCCAGAGATGTACTTCTTGATGGCCGGCGTCAGGTAGGCATCGGCACAGACAGACGTAGCTCTTGACACGAGCTTGATCATGGGCATGAGCTCGTGACTCAGCGACACGTGCTCAAACCCAATGTCCCTCGCCAGTCTACCGACCACGGCCTCGTGGTCGGGAAACGTGTAGCCGTGCATGAAGCAGACGGCCACGCTCCGGATCCCCTTGTCAAAGACCTGCTGAAGCTGGCTCCTGATGCTATCTTCCGCCGGCCGCCGGAGGATACGAACCGCCTCGCCAGACGTGCCCTGCACCAGCTCGGCGTCCGCCGCCTCCTTGGTCCCAGCCGGGACGTCCACCTTTGTGACCGTCCTCTCGGGATCCTCCGCATAATCCTCCAGCGTCACCCGCTCGTCGATTTCGACAACCTCTTCATAGAGCACATCGGGCTTCCGTATGGCCAGGTCGAAAATCTTGGGCCTGCTTTGGTTCCCAATGGCCAGACAGTCGCGGAACCCCTTGGTGACAACAAGTGCGATACGCTCGCCCTTGCGCTCGAGCAGGGCGTTCGTAGCGACTGTCGTGCCCATGCGGATGGAATCTATGCGGCCCGTGTCAAGGGCGGCCCCGCGCGGGATCTCACGCTCCAGAAAGTGCGACATGATGCGGCGGATTCCCTCGAGCGGGGCGTCGGCGTAGTTGGCCGGGTCCTCGGAGAGAAGCTTAATGATGATCTCGCGCCCGTCCAGCTCGCCCACGCAGTCTGTGAAGGTGCCGCCACGGTCAATGGCGATGCGAACACCGCGGGGCCGCATCGTGGTTTCCCTCATGATCGGCAGTGATAGATAGGTTCAGAAGCAAGCCAGCGAGACTCGTTGGATCAATCGGGATGTAGTGGTCTTCTGGTTTGGGGAATAAACAAGTTGCCGATTTTGGCGTGCCTTGGGAACGTCAATGTATCGTAATTATGGCCAGCCTTTTCACGACGTCAAAACAAATGGGAAGCAGAAGGTATATGGGAAGCCATTACAAATCCAGGTATGGGCAATGCCGATGTCATCACACACAGGCAAGGCAGTCGCCGAGGACGTCACCGGAGAGGGGCAAGTTAGCTCTTATCAGCAGCGTGCTCGCCTTATCTGACAGCGTGATGGAGAAGGAGATCTGTACCCCGCCGCAGTGCCTAGGTAGGTACCTACCTACTTCTAGGTAGCTTGCTAGGTACCTTTCCCGGTACCTGGTTTTCATTCGAACATTGCCAGTAGCTTCATCAAGTACCGCGAACGTCAAAAGCTTAGCGAAAATCTCCATGGCCATGGTGCGTGCCTCACTTACCTCTGTAAGAAAGAGCTCGGTCAACAAACTTGTCATACTAAAACAAGAATGGATTAAACATGGTCGCTGTGCGAGCAAAAGAGAACTGGTGTATCGTCTAGCAACCTTGCTTCATTGCCTCATCCTGGCAGACCTGCCCCCCCCCTGAAATCCGTTCCATCGCCCATTAATAAATACTATATGTCGCCGTGCTATACAGCCCCTAGTCGTACACATCAAGAAATTCATATCGTAGCATTACGCATGCGTCCGCTCAATGCGTCACGACCCTGACGGCCTGGAGCAGAATGCCAAACATCAGACCCCGCGCTACCTCCTCCAGCTGGAGACAGTCAAAGATGCGTCCCAGCGCATCCGTCGTTGCGGCTTGACCCATGACACCTGTGAGAGCAGCCGGCACGCCGCGCTCGATGAGCATCCGCCGCGCCTTGATCCGCAGCTTCTCCTTCTCCTCAAGTGTCATCTCAGCTGGCCAGCTTGCGCGCTCTTCCTCCGTTGGCATTGTGTTCTCGCGCATCTTGCGCAGGTGATGCGCCAACCCCGCGTCGCTCGTGTTGGCCTCGATCACCGACTCCTGCATCATTTTCTGGATCGACAGAAGAGACGGGTTGCCGGGCCGCAGGAGGAACGATTTGGCCGCCGCCAGCAGCGTGCGCCGAATGTTCCATGCCGAGGAGAGCGTGTACATCTCGTTGATAACGGCAAACACGAGCTCGACCGCCACTTGTGTTTCCTGCTCTGACAACTGCGCGTATTGTCGAACGGGTTTCGGCGCTGTCACCGTCGCCGTCGCCGCTGCCGCCGCCGAGGGCGTAGTAGGGCTGGCCACGGACGCTTTCTGCGTGTGCGTTTGGGCCAGCGGAGACGTGACGCTGTTGGATGAGTTTTCCCTCGTCAGGCACAGCTCACGAGCCTTGAGGTGCGTTTCGCCATTGCTCGGAACAGATTGGAATGCTTGCTGTTCGTCAACTGGCGTGGGGAACTTCATGCCGTCGAGGCTCAACGTCGATGGTGACCGCAGAGGCGATCGCAGCGCGGCCAAGCTCGATGCGCGGCTGTGCTCGCGGCTGCCGCCCAACGCACTCGGCACGCCCCTCTCCCACCGGTCGACCCTGGGCTTCAGGCCCTCGGCTTCCGATTCGCCGCGCGAGTCGTAGCTGGGTCTCCTCTCCATGGGTGCCATCATGCCGGGCTGTACCGAGACAATGGACGACCGCTGGCTATCGAGGCTGTCTCTCGTCTTGCGAGACGCCCCTGGCGACATGACCTGACTGTTGAGGCTGGTTGTGCTTTCCATGCGCGGCGCGGACCCCAGCGACAGGCGGTTTGGCTGCACCTGGACTTCGCTGATGGAGGCATTCGTCTGCCTCCGCGGCCCCAGGCCGATGGTGTTGAAAACTCCGGTAACGCCACCAAAAACAGCTTTGCCTCCTTCCATCGCACCCTTAGACCCTAGCGAGAGCACATCTGTCATGTTCTTACTGAACGCATCCCAGCCGAGGACCCCGCCTTTTGACTCGCCACGGGAGTGTCCATTTTCCTTCTCAAGGAAACGCTTCATGCCCTCGCTTTCGGCCAAAGGTTGGTACCAGCACGCGTCCCGCACATAGCGCTCGAGCTCGCCTCGCAGGGACGACCTCGAGTGCAACTTCCAGTTGGGAAGCGTTGTGTGCTGTTCCGTGAAAGCTGTCGCTCCCGAGATTGTGGCTATGCGTCGCAGAATCTCGTGCAACGTTTCAAAATCAGAGTACTTGCGCACAATCATCCAGCCGGCATAGTGGGAAGACGCAGGCTCTATCTGCACGAGGTAGTCCCAGGTCGGCTTGCTCCGAATGCGGGCATTGTCAGTGGGCGCATCGTCGTGCAGGACAATATTGGCATTGTGCAGGGTCAGGAGAGGTTTGCGAGGGCCCTCGCCCGGCGCCTCTGGCTCGTCCTTGGCGGGTGGCACAATCTGGTCAAACGTGGTGAACTGGCCATTTGTGTCATTCTCCAGCTGTTTCGGGGACGACTCTCGGCTTGACATATCGGCGGTGGATCGAGGTGTGATGGGTGACTGCAAACTCTCGCGCTTGCTCGAATTGTCGACGGATGGCTTATCCATGGATGTTTCTGAGCGTGGGGAGATCTCCCCCGAAGTAGAGCTGGGACGCTGGCCATTGGTTTCGTTTGAAGCTCTGCCTTCGCCAGCCTGGGCAGGCTTCTCGGATGTAGAGGCCGTCGCGATGCTTTCTTTTGGAGATTGGCATTCCGCCTGAGCTAGAAGGGCGTTCATGCGCTTCATTTCTTCCATTGCCTCTTCCATTTCCTCGTCTGCTTTGCTCAGTTTCTTCCTGTGCATAGACTCCTTGCGTCTAAACTTTTCGAGGTCAAATGAGTTGCGGTTGCCCTTGGCTAGCGAAATGTTGCCGACATTGCCGTCAAAGTCCGCAAAGAGGTTGTTGTTCATAGTGTTGGCATCCGGGCCGGTCTGCATACCAACGTCAATAGCCTGGCTGAAGTCAGGCTCGCCAGCCTCGAGCAGGTACACGATCCAACCATTGATCCATTCGGGCTTGGAACACGTTTGCAATGATGTTTCCAAAACGACACCTGCAAGGATCTCCCGGAGGAAAATGCGCGCAGGGTCGCATTTATGTGTCTGTCGGTCGAGGTATTGGAGCAGATCTTCGGCGACCATGCGAAATTTGGTCGCCTGCTGCGTTTGGCTGAGGAGGCTGGAGAGACTCGAGTCGGGGTTTTCGGCGAGATACTCATAGATTGCATCTGCTGCAGTCACATTGGATTCGGCTGATACATCGGCAAAGGCGGCGGAGAGTTCGGAGAGGAAAACAATGGCGATGGAGCTGGTGTTGGTTAGGAAGTCGAGGAAAGAGTCGGCTGGGCGTTTGCGGTACAAAGCATTTGAGACGGAGAGGAGGAATGAGTTGAGGACCTTTCTGCAGGCCAAGGGAAAGGACGAGTCGCCTGGAAGGATAGGGGAGTACCACCATTTGATGTAGTCCCGCACGACGGCATCGACGAAGCTGGACAAGGCGTCGCGGGTCTCCGGCTTGAAATCGTCAAATGTGTTGATGAGGCGTTCCTCCTCCGCCTCTTTGATTTCCTCAGTCTTTGACTCGGGGGTCTTCTCGAGTCCCAGCCTTTGCAGAACCTCCACACCTCTTTCGCCGCGAACAGCTCGAGAGATCTCGGGGTGGCGTGCTTCGTAGGAGATGAACAGGACCACGCCGCCAAAGGCGCCAATAAGGACGAGCCCGAGCTTGCCTAGTGCGAGATATGTGGCCGCGGCCAACCCAAGACCGACACCAGTGAGTGTCTCTGGAGTAGCTGTCGAAAGAAACTTCAACGTCTTCGCGAGGAGGTCGTCGTCGAGGCGCCGGAATGTCGGGAGCAGTGTTGGGGAAGGAGGGGTTGTAAGGTCGAGTCTGGTGCTGTAGTCTTCATCTTTTCGACTGATG